AGTCCTTCTCCATGGCCTCACCGAACTCTTCCCAGACCCGAGTTTTTGCCTCCGCAACCGCCTGGGCTGCAGCCCGCTTGGCCTGCCGGTACCTGTCAGCTGTCTCAGGAGTCCCACGAGCCAACCAGGCTCGAAAGGACTCCTTCTTCAGCTTGACGGCATCCCTTACTTCCGGTGTCCACCACCGGGTTCGGGGATTGCCACCACGACAGGCACCGGAGACCTTACGGCCACAGCTCCGAACGGCCGCATCGACCTACACTGTCTGCCAGAAAAATCATACATCAATCAGAGAAACTGATTATATAGAGTCGTGCAGGGGAAATCGAAATACATACTAATCAATTCATCTTTGCCAGACTTTGAGACAAAGAAGATTTAAACACATTAAAAACAGCCATTCCAATTTTTGATCATCTGTTACCCAGAAAATGTTAGGGTTTTGTCAAAACTCAGAATTAAATCATAATTTAATAAACACAAAATAACTTATTTCGTATTTGCTCCGAGACCAACCGGGGATGGACTTAAACTTGACAGACGTCTGTTGAGAAACATTTTTGCTGCAGTGTGAACATGAGCACGTCAGACGACTGAAGCCTACTGAACGTGTGCACTGTGCACAAAGCTGCGTTGTCAATCCAAACCTTGCATGAGGAGCAGAGACATCAGGATGGAGACGGCCAGCGCTCCACCCACAGCCCCCCAGTAGGTCTGGTAAACTCTCCACGCCAGCCCGCCCGCCTGCTTCTGCTCCTCCCCTGAGGGGTCAGGGTCGTCATCTGCACACAGACCAGGAGGTGAGCCCGCTTCCTCCTCGTCCTGCTCCACACCACCTGGTTACAGTCAAAAAGGGGCCGTGAAACTTAATACAAGACTGAATAAATGGTCAGCAGCAGCCAAAAGGACAATGTACTAGAGCCAGCTTCAAAAGAATATGTAAGGAAAATGTTAACTTTTTAGCCAAGCACTTACTTTTCTCTTTTGTGTCGTGGCCGTTCTTCCGTTTTTTTGGCACTGCCTCTACCAAAGGAAGGATTTCTGCTGGTGTACCTGTTTAACAGCAAAAGGACAAGTAGAGCTTTAAAATGTCCGCTGTTGTAAACCGAGCCTCTCTAACTCGACCGGTCAAGAGTCGACAGATTCTTTCTCACGTAAATGCTCAATGTTTTCTTTAAACTCTTAGTTACAGTCATCATGCTCAAAAAGATGAAGCCAAACTATTTAGAAAATAGGAAATAAAGTTAGTATAAAGTATAAACAAGTGCTGCTTTGTGCCATAAAGCATCCAACAGATTTCCTGCTTTTGGGGAAGAGCTGCTAGAGGCTGATGTCCTCTTCACATCATTTTATATCCATGTCACTGCGTTGGTGTAATAATAATGTATTGATGTTAAAAAACAGGTTACTACCAAATAATATGGATTAGCTCTGAATTTTAGCAACTTGAGACATTGTAGGAACGTATTCTTTACCGTGAAGCCAGTCAACTAAAAGCTGCACTGGTGACTAAATTATGTCAAATTAAAACACCATGGACATTTTATCTGTCTGCAGTTGTCCTCTCTAATTAATGAGGGACAATATATTTGCTGATTTTGCTGATTTTGCTGGTTTGCCGTGTTTGCACCTGTTCTGATGATTGTTCCGTTGTCCATGAGGACCACTATGTCAGCTTTGTCCACAAACTCTATGCGGTGCGTGCAGAGGATCCTGGTTTTCCCCCTCAGGAGCTCCACGATACATTTCTGCATGAGGTGTTCGGCCACGTCGGTATCGACTGCTGCCAACGGATCATCCAGGAGGTAGATGTCTTTGTCCTGAAGCAGTGAGGTTAGCCAGGGAAATGGAAGAGAGAGCAGCATCACATGATGACTGATTTGTAAAGAAACCACAGCTCAGTGTTGAGCTTTACAATTGATCTTGTAAATGTAAACTGAGTCTTGTTTTAAAACATGTAGCGACACAGTGAAGTGGTAAGAGTTGGCATCCTACACGTAGCCCGTACAGCTGACACAGGGATCAAACCAGCGACTCCTTCAGCAACAGGCAGCTCTCAAATCATTTCTTCACTAAAATCTTCATGCATCTTGATATCTAGCCGGTGTATCAGTATATCAAAGCTAACACTGGTCTTCAACATGAAGAGGAAGGATGCAAGTTAAACTGACACTGGTACCAAACTGTTTGGTAAACTTCTTCCTCGTCTCTCTGAGTGTGAAGCAGCTGGTTTGTGCAGTGGACTGACCATGTACACAGCTCTGGCGAGGGCCAGCCGTGCCTTCTGTCCTCCACTCAGAGTCACCCCGTTCTCCCCCACTTCTGTCCTGTCACCGTTTGGCAAAACCTGCAGACACATTTTAGAAGGGGCTTATTAAAAATGACCATGTACCAACACGTCTGTATGACATCAGACTCAATGCATTGATGAAAGCAATCAAGTTAAAGGCCATAAGTTCCCTGGACAATGTGATCAAAGTGTTAATCAAGAGGAAGTTGGTGCAGTACTGAGCTGATCATGGTGTCACAATATTCAGTGATAAACATCTTCTGGGACCATGAATGCTCAAAATCTGCAGTATTGTTTTTAGACGTTATTAAAAACGCCACCCTCATAAGTGTGACCGGCCTCTGTAAACTATCGACAGTCCAATGCATCTACTGTCTATACCGCTTATCCTGAACAGGGCCACAGGGGGCTGGAGCCAATCCCAGTTGACACCGGGCAAGAGGCAGGGTCTACCCCGGACAGGTCGCCAGTCTGTCACATGACATGCAGACACTCACACACTCACTCCTACGGGCAATTTAGAGTCAGCAGTCATGTTTTTGGACTGTGGGAGGAAGCCGGAGCACCTGGAGAGAACCCACGCAGGCACAGAGAAAACATGCAGACCCGGAACCATGCCGCCCACAAATGACAGTAATCATGTTAATCAGCAAAAACACATTTGGACAGAAAAGAACATAAGCAGTAGTGGTCGTACGCTGAAGTCGTCTGAGAGAGCGCAGGCCTCGATCACAGCCTGGTAGAAGGCGGGATCGTAGTCTCTGCCAAACAGGATGTTGTCTCGTACTGATGCATGTTGGATCCATGGCTCCTGAGAGGCCAGACCAAAGCCAGCCTCTCTTTCTGCAGCGTAAACCACTCCGCTCCGCCTGCAGAGACAGGAGGAACACTGGTGGAGCTCTCTGCATCCTGACACCCGAGTACTCCCTTCCAAACTCAACATCCTCGTGTCTGTGCTCTAAAACCCTTCAAGTATGTTGTGTACCTGTAAAATCTGTTGTTAAACCATATGATACTTCTTTCCCCAAATAACTGATATAACTGATTCCCTTCCACTGCTGGAATATGAAACACAGGTTTCCACAGTGTGTCACAACATTTCAGCTACTGTAACTACTGCAAGTGAAAAGAATCACAATCAGCAAAGTTTATAGCGAACACAATCTGAACATTTGGAGAAAGGTTTCGGACGTGCAGTACCTGCTGAGTTCTCCTGTGAGAGCAGCCAGCAGGGAGCTCTTCCCACAGCCGACCTTCCCCACCACAGCGACCAGAGAGCCCTGAACCGGACAGACACTGTTACTGCTCTGACTGACGGCAGGACAAACCATCTTCAGGTGTCAAAATAAAAACGCTGTTAAATGTTGAATTCAATCCTGAAGTCGTGGTTTTAACCGTCAGAGCATAAAATACGTTTTACATCGTTGGCCAGTCATTTTATTTGACTTTAATTATGTAAACCAGTAAACTTTAAACCTTTCAAAACACCTAAAGCACAATCAAATATCAGGAAAAGTATTTTTGGAAAGAAACTCAAAAATCTGATAGAGAATGTTACTGTGTTTTATTGATGCTGTGCTTCATGTCAGAGAAGAAGAAGAATTCAAACTGAGTGTTTGGGCCTTTCTGTTGGTTTGTTTTGTGTCAGAGATGTTTCTGCTTCTTCCTTGACACTGTTCATGTTTCTAATTCTTTAAATTCATCCCTGTGCACAGGTGCGGCTGGTGTGCTGGACCAGTTCTGTAGGAAATATAACCTACAAAGAGCACGAAGGCTGTACATGTTATCAGACTGTACCTTGGTTACGTGCAGATTGAGACTGTGCAACAGCTGACTTCCTTTAGCAGCTCCACTTCCTGTTTCTTCATCTGTGTTCTGGTCATGACTGTCGGGCCCCTGCCATGAGAATGTCCCCTGGTTCAACAGGATTGACGTCTGGCTGTCCTCAGGAGACACTGTGCACGCACACGTTTCATCACAACAGAAATACGGTATCGTACGTGATATAACAACAGTTGGAGCTACTTTTAATTTTTGCAATGAAAGCAAGCTTCACTTGGACATTATGGACTTTCTAAGGCCTTTCATTCATTTTACTTCTAGGTAACATTACTTGAAAACAAAAGCAGCTTCATGTAGCAGCGTCAGTCGGGCAGACCCACAGTAGAGCCAAGAAATACACAAAGACAGCAGAAAGTGTCAAAAAGTGGAGTTTCAGATCAGCACATGAAGCAGAGCTTGTTTTAAACGTAGAGAAAACCTGCTCCTCCCAGGACAGAGACCAACAAATGGGACCCAACACATACTGAGACTTGTTTCTGGTTGCTGATTAAAGACAAAAACACACACAAGCTTCAAAGCAGCAGCCTACACAGAGCGTAGTACGCCTGCAGATCCTGGTTGGTCAGTCTGAAGAAGCGCTGGATTCGCTCCAGAGACACTTTGGCCTCCAGGATGCTGTTGAGAACCCAGGGAAAACAGTTGAGTGGGACGATTAACATTCCCACCAGAGCCAGCGTGGTGAACACCTGCAGGACAAGAGACCAGCCACTGAGTCTCAGCTTCACTGAGTCATCCTAAATATTAGCTCTTTTTACAAAATATATTTTCTGTGATAAACCCTTTGACTGGAAATGACTTTTTATTAGGGTGCGGAGAGAGAACTGGTGATCGTGTTAGGATCTTTCCTTCGCAGCCCCGGTGGCAGTCGCTGCTCAACAAAATGATGGTTTATGGGAGTTTTTCCTTATTCACATCAGGGCTCTACTGATGGAGGGTGTTTTACTCTGTGCAGATTATAAAGTCCGAGGATAATTTATCATTTAAGATATTTCAATACAGCTGATTTTTTCTTCTTCAAAGGAAAGTACTGCCTCTGTTATCAGATATGTGAACTGAAGAAAGCAGTGCAGATTTTCTACTGGTACTATTTGTAGAGAATAGAGAGAAACTGAAAACAAAGGAGAGAGAGACGTGACAGCAGCTCCTGGCCTGACTCAAACCAGGAGTGATTGCTGTTGTAAATCTGACTGTAAAAGAGTCAAGTGCCTCACCAGCTGTCAGCCTCACCGTACGTCACTGATTTTGCCTCATGTCAAAATAAAACCTGAATTGCTGCTTTGCAGATGTATGGCTCCTCCAACCAGTCAAAGTCATGGGACAGACATGAGGACGCAGTGACCTTATTGACCACTAAAATCTACCCACTTCATTCTCGAGTCCAAATGGACGTTTGTGGAAAATCTGACAAAAAAAATTCCCTAAAGACGATTCTAATAAATCACTTTCATGAGTGGGCCAAGCCAAAAACCCACAGCTTCCATAAACACTTAGCTCAGCCTTACATAACTATTACAAATAATATCTATATATGAAGTACATACTGTTACCTCTGGAACCTTGTTTATTTTTAGCCACTAAACCAGTTGTAGAACGGGATGGCCTGGATGCCAAAGAGCACCTTTGTCATTAACTGGAAGAGAAAAGCCACAAATTAAAGAGACTCACTTGAGTCTCAGTGGCACAGCTTTGGGCCCGAGGAGCAAATATGAGCAGACTCTTGCACTGAAGATGTACGTACATTTACAACATGAACACACTGCAATTTATGTTGCTATATCACAGCCACACCACTATGCAAAGGTTTTTGGTATTTTAGATGTTTAAAATCCTTATCTATCAAAACGATTCATTATTTTTAAATGCATCATAACTTTACTTTTAGTGCCTAACACATTTGCACTGTACTGTATGTGTGAATATGACTTTACCTATTCATCTGTGACAAGTCAAAATCAGCCAGTAGAATCAGCCTGGTGATAATATGTTATTGTATTTGAACCTCGAACTGCTCCCAATGGAAACAGTCAATGAGAGGCTTTAAAGCGCCGGTTTTAGCTGATCACAGCTGAGCTGTGGTTTCTAAACAGTGTCACTTGTGGAATTTTAGCAGTGAACAAAATCCTCCTAACATTTGCACAGAGAAACAGCTGAATCGGGTCTTACCTTAACACGGCTGTCCTTGTACCTGAGCATGTGTTTGTTGTTGTTAAGGATCCGGGAAGCGAGGAACTTGTTGAGGGGCACCAGCAGCAGCGCCACGCACAGCCCTCCGAGGAAGGCCATGCCCACCTGCAGATAGAGCAAGTAGACAGTGATAGAAAACTGGAAGGGCAGGCTCCACAGCTCATGGAAGCTGGTGAAGAAGTTGACCACGCGGTCGGTGTCCGTGCTCATTAAGTTCACCACCTCTCCCAGAGTGAAGCCGGCAAGGCTGCTGCTGCTGACACGCAGGGCTTTGCCATAGATGGCCGACACGAGCGCGGCGCGTGCTGACAGTGCCACTTTGGAGACCTCAAAGACGAAGATGTTTCGGAGGATGGAAGAAAGAAGGGTGCTGGCAAAGAGTCCCAGGATGCACCAGGCACCCCTGCTGACTGGAGCTCCTTCTTCCTCCATAAAGCTGACCAGACTGCTGAGCAGCAGGGGTCCTGCAAAGCTCAGCATGTTGACCACCACCTTCAGTACACCAAGCATGTAATACCGCAACCCAAACGCCCTGCGCAGCACCCTCAGCAGTGCTACATCACCCTCCAGCTCCAGTGGTTCCTCCAGGTAGTGTGAGCTCCAGCTGCCAGTCAGGAGGTTTGTGCTGACCGGTGTGGGCCACCGGTTCCGCCCGTTACTGGCCGCTGCCCCCCACCGGCAGAACTCCCAACACTGGTGAAAGTATCGGCAAACCACGCTAGTCCGAAGTTTCCGAGGGAGGTGATACACATCAGCTGGTCTGTCCAGCTCGCCGCGCTGGCCTCGCCTGAGGAGAGGGGTCAACCACAGGTAGAAGAGTCGAGAGACACAGCCGCTCCCGTCCTCAGCCACCATCTGACCCGTATCCGGCTGGGTGCTCCCTAGAACGAGAGGGGATCCATCCACAGTGTTAATATGCAAGCTATACCCAGCGTCACTGATGCAAGGAAATGCAAACGCCAGAAGATAAACCAGAATGGGGAGTGTCCGCGCTGAGACAAGCACAAATCGTGCCAATTTTAGAGGATCAGTGATGTTTAGATAGTCCTGATTATCACAATAAATGATCAAGGTGATGACAAGGTTGGGAAGTGACAGAAGGACCAGCAGAAGCAGCAGCAGGGGTCCTCTAGTTCTCATGAAAGCAGTCCTCTGGAGCACTGCGATGGCACTGCAGTGGCTCAGCCAGGCCAGGATGGCACAGCTGTCCACTAGGACATCCAGGTACATGTCCCCCTGCTGAAGGATGCTCACTAGGACGACATCTGTGGTGAAAAGAAGTGTCATCAGCAGAGTGGACACCAGCCTGAGAGTCCAACCACAAGCAGGAGATGTCTGGAGGAGGCTGCATCTGAGGAGCAGAGATGTATTACTTCTCAGGATTTTCTCAGTATTTCAAGTATGTTATCCACTCAGTCTTAAAACGAGTGCTCTATGTCTATGGTCGTGCTCTCTATACATGAATAAAAATATTGATTTCATTGGAAAAAACGTTTTCAAACTGTCTGTACCAACCTAGATGTGAATGATATCAGGGTCAAATCTGTGCAGACACATATGACCCACCTTGCCATGCTAAGGTAGCAGGCGCTACAAACGGCCATTCCAGCGTGAGGCAGGGCTCCAAGGATGAGCTGGTTAAAACAGGGGCTGATGTGTCCATCCTGCCACACAGGGAAAGGATTCTCCTCTTCTGTATGACACAGGCCTGCGACCAGCTCTGCTGGCCCAAAGCCACTCATCCCTCCTCCTAGTTGAAGGTTGTCATTCTACAAAATACCTGAAAAGGACAAATCACAATAGTCACAGCTCTTTAGGGATAAAGGGGTCGCACTACCACACCGAGTCTAGGCTGCTCAGCTTTACTTAGGATAAGATATAAGGGGGAACATCTGGATAAAATACAAGACTTTCTTACGCGTTATTCACACTTTCATCGTGGAGGCAGTGTAAGGACAGGTTGTCCTCAACAGAGGCTTTATGTAGACTTACCGTGTCCAAAGTAGGCTCCGCCAGGGACTTCCCTGTTGTTAGCAACTGAAATACTGCGGCAGCCTCTGGACACAGGGATCCTAAATGCCCAAAACCTGGAGTCTGTTCTCATGTCTTTGCTTTTCTTCTATTGTCTAAATATTAGCTGCTTGGAAGAAAAGGTAAGTTTACAGGGCTACGCTTCAGTACTGGCCGCCATGTTGGATTAATTGCCAGTCACGTGACTGAACACCAATAAGGATGTGACACCGAGCCCCGCCCACTGTTCATAGACATCTATGGTCGCTAGCACCGACTGTAGCGATGTGCAAACGTTATATTTCTGTAGAATATTCAACTGTCATGGTGCAGAGTAAAGCCTCTGTCTGTTCACTGCTCACTACGTCACTTTACGGGTCGTTTCTCAGCTTTGTAATCAACTGTAACATCTGGAGCTAAGTGACACTGTTATAATGTTGGTTTCACAATTATTTAAATGTCCATTTGTTAATCGGTCAACTCTAATAAATTCAGCTGTATTTGTGACTTCCTGTACAACCCAGTGAAACCGCTCCACTATGTTCAACCTAACACTGCATTTGCATTTACACAGTTGTTGTAACTTCCTGCTCTACACCATCAGTCAACATTTCAAGCCCCGCCCTGTCCTGAATCACCTGACAAAGCAGGAAACAGTTTGTTCTTCTTCGTGACTATAGAGACACAGAGTGAGAAGCAGACGATCAGATTCACCTTCAGACCAAACTAACAGCTTCCTCTGAGTGAGTCCAGCTACAGGAGAGAAAAGTGGGAACTCCAACACTGCTGCTTCAACCTGTGGACACACACTGAATGTGAGTCTGACAACAACACAAAGTGAAAGTACATTTCAGTAACGTTAGTGGGGTAGTGGGGGGAGGGGAGCCATGACTGACTGTACTTTGTATCTGCTGTGACTTCAGCTGCAGAGACTGAGCTCCTGTCTGATCCGTCTGCCTGCTGTGACTTCAGCTGCACTCAGAGACTAAATGGCTTCCAGACCAGAGGAGACTCTCTGCAGTCTGCACTCTGAGAAACTCAGACTCTTCTGTCTGGACCATCAGCAGCCAGTGTGTGTCGTCTGCAGAGACTCAGAAAAACACACCGATCACAGATTCAGACCCATTGATGAAGCTGCACGACGACACAAGGAGGAACTGGAGGAAACTCTGAAGCCTTTAAATCAGAAGTTAAAGGTTTTTGAACGAGTTAAAGTGAAGTTTGATCAAGCAGCAGAACACATTAAGGTCCAGGCCCGACACACAGAGACGCAGATTAAGGAGCAGTTTCAGAAGCTTCACCGCTTTCTAGAAGAGGAAGAGGAGGCCAGGATGGCTGCACTGAGGGAGGAGGAGGACCAGAAGAGTCAGATAATGAAGGAGAAGACAGAGGCTCTGAGCAGAGAGATAGCAGCTCTGTCAGACACAGTCAGAGCCACAGAGGAGCAGCTGAGAGCTGAAGATGTCTCATTTCTGCTCAGCTACAAGGCTGCAGTGGAAAGAGTCCAGCAGCGCCTCCTGCTGGAGGATCCACAGCTGCCCTCACGAGCTACACCTGGGCAACCTGGCCTTCAACATCTGGAACAAGATGAAGGACATGGTCTCCTACACTCCTGTGGTCCTGGATCCAAACACTGCTGAGCCACGACTCATCCTGTCTGAAGATCTGACCAGTGTGAGAAAAGGAGACAAACAGCAGCTTCCTGACAATCCAGAGAGGTTTGATGATTATGCCTGGTCTGTCCTGGGCTCTGAGGGCTTTAACTCAGGGACTCACAGCTGGGATGTCGAGGTTGGAGACAATACGTGCTGGGGACTGGGTGTGTTAGCAGAGTCTGTCCAGAGGAAGGAAGGCATACTGTCTGGATTATGGGGAATAAGGTTCTTTGTAGGTCAATACACAGCATTCTCTCCATCACATCCATACACTGTTCTCTCAGTGGATAAGATGTTCCAGAGGATCAGAGTGAATCTGGACTGGAGCAGCGGAAAGCTGTCGTTCTCTGATCCTGACACTAACACACACATACACACCTTCACACACACTTTCACTGACACACTGTTTCCGTACATTGACACTTTGGATGACGTCCCAGTGAAGATATCACCAATGAAGGTCTGTGTGACAGTGGAACAGAGCAGTAATAGGAATAAAAGCACAATTATTTATAACTTGTTTATGTCTGAAGAGAAAAAGTCACTGACTTTAACCTGTTAAACTCCACCTGTCCTCCGCTTCTCATTGTTGTGATGCTGTGTTTAGTTGGGTTTTACTTCTCGCTGCTTGTTGTTTTCCTTTTTTCATTTCACTATTTGCTTTTTGTTTCTATTGTCGCTGTTTGTGTTTGTGTTACCCCTGTTCCAGTTCATAGAAACGTTAATGCTGCAGCAAACAGTGTTTTAGACAACAGTGTGTAAACAGCATCTGTTTGTCGCTGTCAGCTCCATAAAGAAACGGCACCGAGCCCAAAGTACAACTCTGCTACCTGCTGCTGGTGTGGAGTCATTGTCTGGTCTGCATTTAGTTTTTAGGTGTGAAACTGATCTTAGATCTGCTGTAGGGATCTAGTTCTGCGGGTAGTTTTAGACTTCTCTGCTGCCTTCGATGCAGTGGATCATGAAATACTCATATCTCGCATAGAGCAGTGTGTGGGAATTCGTGGTACTGTTCTTACTTGGTTTAGATCTTACCTCACGAATAGAAGTTTCTCTGTTAATATTGGTAACTGTTCCTCCTCCTCAGCTATCCCCTCCTGTGGTGTCCCCCAGGGGTCTGTACTTGGCCCAACTCTCTTCTCCCTGTACATGCTTCTGCTAGAATCAATCCTAAGGAAATATGGCTTCTCTTTCCATTGCTATGTGGATGGCATCCAGATATATTTACCATTAAAAGCAACTGGAGGGATGTCTCTACAACCACTGTTTGACAGACCTGAAAGCATGGCTGGCGTGGAACTTTTTAAAGTTAAATGAGGATAAAACTGTGTGTGCTTTATTTTGCGATCTGGTGAAATTTGCTGCTTTCAACCACGACTTAGGCCCCCTGGCTCATCATCTGAAGATGACTGTAAAAACCCTAGGGGTAATGTTTGACAGTGACCTAAGATTCGACAAGCAGATCAACTTGGTCGTACAATCTAGTTTCTTTCACCTGAGGTTGCTAAGTAAAGTCAAGTCATTTCTTTCTTTTAATGACTTTGAGATTGCAATCAATGCCTTCATAACCTCTAGACTTGACTATTGTCATGCATTATACCTTGGTGTTAATCAGTCATCTCTCTCTCGTCTTCAAATGGTCCAAAATGCTGTGGCTCGTCTTTTTAAAGGTACCAGGAAATCTGACCATATAACTCCGGTACTGGCCTTTCTTCACTGGCTTCCAGTCCATTTTAGAATTCATTTTAAGCTATTGATTTTTGTTTTTAAGGCTCTTAATGGTTTGGCACCGCCCTACCTCGCTGAGTTGGTGAGGTGGTGTGAACCGACTAGATTACTCAGCTACTCGAGCCAGTTTCCTTTAGAGGTTCCCAGGGCCAGATACAAACGCTGGGGTGACCGTGCTGTTACTGTTGTAGCCCCTAAATTGTGGAATGGGTTACCTCTTAATGTTAGATCATCTACAGACTTGACAACTTTTAAATCATTGGTTAAACACATATTTATTCACTTTGGCTTTTAATACATAGTAGTGTCTGATGCTTTCTTCTTTTAGCTGTTGATTTTGTGTAGTTCCTGTTTTTATGTTATGTTTTTATTTCTTTATTGATATTATTTCTGGTTTTTACATTGCCTTTGTACAGTACTTTGGTCGACCAGACGTTGCTTTTAAAGTGCTATATAAATAAATTTTGATTTGATTAGATTTGTAGAGGGACCAGTGTGACTGAAGTACTCACATCTTTACATAAGTATAAAAAGCAGTACAACTGTGTAGAACTACTCTGAGTTCTACAATCAAACATCTTACGTAATGTAATACACACAGTACCAAAACTAAAAGTACTCATGTTGCAGAATGGCCCATTTCCCAGTGTGGACAGTAGATTATATTTATGATTATAATTCTTGGACCATTAACATGTTGCAGCTGGTAGAGTGGAGCTCATTTTTAATTCCTCTACATGCTGCTGCAGCTTCGTATTAACGTGGAATAATACACCATTTATTTATTGGTTGTTTTATTGATCTGAATCTATTAAGTACCTCAAGTTACTTGAGTGCCTAAAGTTATCAGTTATCTCAAATGCTTGAACAGAGACGAGGAGCAGAGCAGCAGAAACAGGACCACAGCGCTCAGTGAGTCCAGTACAAACACCAGTGCAGTTTTACAGCAGACGACAACAGGAAGATTCTTCGTTTCCTGTTCAGGTTTCATCAGGACTTCAGATCCACTCACAAAGTGCTCACAATGATGCAGTGAGGAAAGAAAAGCAACAAAAATGGTTTGAGTTCTTTATTGAAGGGGCAAAAAGGGAGCAGACTAAGTTTTAGCACCTTAACACAAGTTATAAAATTAACTGCTGGTTCTCGTGACACAACAACTGGCTGCAGAACATATAGGACATAAAGGCTTGGAGAAGCATTTAGCAACAGAAATGTCTTAATTTGGACATTTTCATTATATTTAATTACATTTAGAGCTCATCCTGGGGCCTATTTCAAGAAG